GCCCATGGCTTGCACAGGTGCTCTCTTTGCTGGATTAAAGCTGGCTGGCTGGCCAGGCCCAGAGAGTGCTGGTGAATGGTGCCACAGCAGCTGGTGGCTGCTCACTCGTGGGGATCCCCAAGGCTCAGCATTGGGGCCAGTCCTGTTTAATATCTATCGATGATCTGGATGAGAGGATCAAGTACACCTTCAGTCAGTCTGCTGACAACATCAAGTTGGGTGAGAGTGTTGAGTTGCTGGAGGGAAGGAGGGCTCTGCACAAGAATCTGGACAGGCTGGATTGATGGGCTGAGACCATTTGTATGAGTAAAACAAGGCCAAGTGCTGGGTCCTGTGCTTGGATCACAACACCCCAGGCCGTGCTACAGGCTGGGGGAAGAGGAAAAGGACCTGGAAGTGCCAAACATGAACATAAACAGCTGGCTGAACATGAGTCAGAGTGTGCCCAGGTGGCCAAGACGGCCAATGGTATCCTGGCCTGTATTACAAATAATGTGGCCAGCAGGGTTGGAGTAGTGGTCATTCCCCTGTACTCAGCACTGGTGAGGTCACATCTTAAGTGCTGTGTTCAGTTTTGGGCCCCTTACTACAATAAAGACATTGAGATCCTTGGGTGAGCCCAGAGAAGGGCCATGGAGCTGATGAAGGGGCTGTAGCACAAGTCCTAAAAGGAGCAGCTGTAGGAGCTGGGATTGTTGAATCTGGAGAAAAGGAGGCTCAGGGAGGATGGTCTCATCATTGTCTATAGTTGTCTGAAAGGAAGCTGCAGTGAGGTGGGTGCCAATTCCTTCTTCTGGGTAACAATGGACAGGATAAGATGAAATGGAAGTTTAGATTAGATATTAGGAATTTTTTTTCATTGAAAGTGTTGTAAAGCATTGGAATGTGCTGTCCAGGTTGGTGGTGTAGTCACCATTCCTGGAAGTGTTCAAGAGCAGTATGGATGTGGCACATGACTGAGGACATGTTTTAGTGGTGAACATGGTGGGGGTACTGGGCTGATGGCTGGACTCAATGATTTTAAAGGTCTTTTCCAACCCTTAGGTTAGATTTTATGATTCTATGATCTGCTAGTGTCGCTCTTACTAACTGATGTTTGTAGGCTTTTTTCTGTAATGTCTTCACTTCTGTGGTAGATTGGAAATAGAAGCTTCACAAATACTAACTGAGATGTGAAAAAGGAGACGCTTTTGAACAGTGTTCTAATGGAGCATACATAGATTTTAAAGAAATGATCAGACATGTAATCAGAGTCCCAATCAGCATTTTAATTAGAAGTTCAAAGATGCAAGGCCCGAGCCTCCAAAAACCATTTTTTTCTATCTATGTGTATCCTCATGAACTAGTCAGGCCACATCAAACTCTCAAAGAACAGAAAAACCAAAAGAGCTTACAGCAGTGAGGTATCATAGTACAGCAGTGAGAGTAGTAGAGTTTCTCAGTTGGGTGCAAGAAACATGACACTGATTATGTGGGGCTGTGAGAGTGCATGGGAGGATGCAACCACACAAAGACCTGGCTACCTTTCATCACTCTTACAAGTTTACTTTATGTGACTCTTCTGTTTGAAGCAACCAAAGACACAAGTGAGGAAAATGAACAGTTCAAGATAATTTCCAATAAGGCAAGATATGTATTATTGTTTGAAATTCATGCCTCAAACTATATGTAGATGTCGTCATCATTGTAGAAGACTGATATCCTTGACCATGAAGAAAAGATTAAATCTACAAAGTATATGGGTTAGTTTGTCCTAAATCCCCAACACTTCAGCTGCAGTCCTTCTTATTTATCCACTGTCCTTTAGTTTCCAGTAACTCAGTCTGCATGATATCCTTTTCTTTGAAGTCTTTTGCCAACTCATTAAATTTTCCAGACTTTCTAGTACATGGATTTATGGGCAATTAAGAATTTCTCAGACTCAGTAGTCAGGAAATATAGCTTGTTATCTGTTGCAAAAGCATTTGGCCAATTTTAGGAGATTCTTCAATAGAAAAATTGTTTCCTAACAGTGTTGCCTAGTCTCTTCCTTTTCAGATATTTTGTCCCAAGCAATATTTTTTCATACCTAAAATGGCTATAGTGTGAACAGTTCTTTCATTGAAAAAAATGGCTATATTTTACCCAGTTGTTTTCAAATGGTAAATTTACTGAGCACATCTAATGGCTCCGATATAACAGATGAAAAAATTCCATTGTCTGAGTGCAGGTCTTGAGACGTATATTCAGAAAAATGTTTTGTTTTATTGCCTTTTCCCCCTTATTTCTGGTAATATGTACACAACATGTTTGTGTTAACGTATTTTCTCCAAATTCCAAGGTCCTGTAGTGCTTTCTGCTAACTCTGCCATTTGTTCAAAATCTTTATTCTTATGTGGAAATTTTCATTTTAGACCTACAGGAAATGTGTCCGAATGTGTCACTCTATTAAGTTAGATTTTCTGAACCTTTCATATTCTACCCCTTGTTACTTTAACACAAGCATCTTTTCTATCAAAAGACTGCTGTTTTGGAATTTGTCACTGCATGGTTTTCTAAAATTTATTAGCAGTTTCTAACAGTACCTTTTATTTACTGGACAATTTTTCAATGCTTTAAGTAGTTGGTACTGTAGCAAAAGCAATCACTAAAGCAGTTATTGTCTGGCTGCAATTTTTAGTGAATGGACTTGATGCTCAGACTACATTCAATTATGTTTGTAAAAGCATCAAAAAAAAAAGGGGCCTCTGAATTAAGACTTGCATGAAACCACTTTGAGTAATGCTGGGTTCCTTCCAGGACCTGCTCTTAGCACTTGGATACAAGCAAAAGATCAAGGCACGTTGAAAGGAAAATCATGCATACATACTTGGTCATGCACAAATCTCAGTAAAGTTATTCAAGTACATAAGTGTTTGCAGTTTCAAATCCCATTCTTCATGAAAGTATTTACCATGCTTATCCATTTCTAATTTTTAAGAAAAAATCTTAGAGATCTCTAGGAAGAAAAGCAAAAAAATAACAAATTCTCTTTTGGCTAAAACAGATCACCATTAACCAATTTATGAAACTATTTTCTTTAGTGTTTCCTGAACATTTCTTGTTTTCTGTAACAAAATTTCTTGTTTTCTGTAACCCCTAACTACTGTCTGAATCTTCCTTAGAAGCCTGGTGGAAAATGTCATTGTGTATATTTCCAGAATGTGTTTTAAACTGTTGACTAGTACCTACACTTTAACTTCTTCCAACACTGTGCAAGACCACCTTAGGTTTCCCCAGAGCTACTGGTATCTGTATGCAAGATGTAGCTATAATCTCTTAATAAAAGCAATCAAATTTTTAATTTCATCAGGGCTACTTTGTGCACAAGGCAACTAATCACTACTGTATTAATAAATAAATAGAGAGAGGAAAAGAGAATATGTCTATTTATAGACAGATTAAATGACCATAAAAAAAAAAAAAAGACTGCTCAGTTTGGAAGTGCATTTTCAAATATAATAAGGATTTCACAGTTTGTTTTTCTTCTCTATATGTGATGAAGAGCCTTCCCACCAACAGCTTCTGCCTCTAAAATCTGTTGATAGGCAGTGCTAACACCATTTTACTTCTCTTATTGATGGTGCTGACATATATATACACCCATATGTATATATCATGTATACATATTTACATATCATCCAGATGTATATGCTTATAGATTAATATGTGTGTATGAAATATGTACATATACATCTTCATATATGTGCATGTATATATACACAGAAATTCAGGAACATCAAATGATCATGAGTGTTTTTGCAGCCCTCTGCAGTATGCATGGCATAGAGTGCAATCACTAAGCTTTTAAAAAGAAAATAACAGTCTATATATAAAATATTCTCCTTCAAGGTAGATTTCCTTAACAACCCTTTTCACTCAAAACTGCTTGCCTCACAGTAAGATCTTTCAGTTTCAGTTCAGTTTCAGTTCAGATTAAAGAAATTAACCAGTGAAAGAAGAAACAAAATGCATCTTTACACAGCCCATCTCTTCATGTAAAACATATACAACACACAAACACTGTCAACAGCCTGGCATCCTGTCCCACACATTTCTATCACACCACATGCATTAATAAAAAGCCCCTCTATCCAATGACAGCGCCTTGTTAAAGATCCAACATCAATCACGTTTTTAAACAAATTTTGTTTAGTGTGTCTCTAATTGAATCATTTGAAAATATGCCAGAAAGGTGAGATATGTTTTTTCCCTTCTTTTCTCTTCTGGCTCTTTAATTACCTTTCCCTGAAACAAGCAAGCATCTAGTAATAGACTGCTATGGGAAAGTTTCAATAGAAAACTCAAATCTCTCATTTCTGAGATTTTTATGGGACAGCCATTTAAATTAAACTATATGGGATAGAGACAGCTTTGGAGAGTGAAAAAGTAAAACTGCTGGCAGAGCAGCTGCTTGTTTGACATCAGGTGCAAACTCAAGACACACACATGACCTTGCCCACAGAGGGAAATGTGCTCTGACACGTGGAGGCCAGCTAAAACATTTTTTCTTCTCCATGCACTGTTGGGCCTCTCACTCCTTTTATAATTTTCTCTCCTACAATTACAGTCTTATTTGTGACACTTTTGGTACACATAAAGTAAAAATGGCTCAGATTGGCTCTAACTGCAGTATTCCAAATGAGTCAGTGTACTGGAATCTGATTTTTGCAGAAAAAGCTTCAGCCTTTGCTGCACAAAGCAAAAATTAGTTAATAAATTTAGGGATTTCATTTCAGTTAAGCAGAAACGCAGCACTCTGAAAACCATGTTCATTGCAATATGAGCACATAAGTAATATAATTACATCAATGCTTTCCAAAGAATTTTATGCATCACTCTGTCACTGTATTCTGTACCTTTAGTGATCTGCCTAACTTTTGGCTTTATCTCATTTGCCTGCTAAGCCCTCTTGAATAATTACACAGTACAGCTATTCTAAGTAAAATAGATTTTTCACAATTCTCTCATTGTCTTTTCAGTTGCCTAACAATGGCAGTAGTGCAAAGGCGAGAAACTGCTACAAACCCTACTTTGGTTCCACACAGAACACATGGAATGAAAATTGAGAAATGGAGCCAGATGCTGCAGAGGTAACATCCTCTTTCCTTTATCATCTCATCTCATCCCTCAAGGAAGCCAATCTCCCATCCCCTCTGTGCCAGTGACAGTAATCCTATGCGAAGCAGTGTCACCATATAACCATTAAAGAGAAGCAGCAGTAGCAATAATACTCAAGGTGCCTTTCCTATCTTTCCTTTTAAAAAGATCAAACTTTCGTACATTCTGGGAAATCAGAATGGTTAGATCTGCTCTGTGAAATTGTACACTCACTGGAGAATAAAACAGGCAGAGACAGAGCTACTGAGCTACTGGCAACTGTTCTGATTAAAAAAAAAATCACTCTGGCAATATTACAGAGAAAGATTATAGATAGTTATGTACATGTGTACAATCACACAGACAGATAATTGAGAGACCACAACTCCATTGGCTTTTTTTGAGAAAGTACCATATGAAAAGATAATGAGTGAAAATGCCAGAGAAGGAGTCCCTGTAAACCTCCACACCTGGTGAGCTGCAGCTCCCATCTGCCATCCTCCTTGCTTTCTCGGTGCAATTCTGTTTGTGCAGAAATAGTGTATATTCATGTCATCATTGGATCCAAGCACACTGCTGGGATTTAGATAATAATGCAGCTGATCCCTCTTTGGGCTGTGTCAGTGTGAACATGAGCCCCACTGACGTGCAGACATGCCGAGAAAACACAGAGTCAGAGCAGGGCCAAAATGTGTGCTGAACACCAGCCTCCCCCAGCCTGAGCCTTCCATGGGCTCAGACAAAAAGCTGTACCCTGGCAAAGAACACACAGAGCTTTCCACACAGACAGTGGAACTGCCATGGGCATAAATGCTTTAAGTACTGTGTGAAGGACAATACCACCAACTCCCACCTCGACCCATCAGACAGTATTCACAGACTTTCCCACTTGCACCACCAGTAAAAGTTTTAAACTCATTGAAACCTTACTTCCAGAAACAGAGTCCTGTGCCCCAACACTCATCCACAGCTGGGAGCAGGGCACCACTGCCTCTGTTCCATCTGCATCAGGTTGCTCCTTCCTTGCTCCTACATCCAGCATCTTTTCCTCCAGCTTCCTTTTTTTTTCCTCCTCCTCCTCCTTAAAACATTTACTGCTCCACATTGGTCCTTACAACCTGCTAAGCTGAGCCTAACCAGCTTCTTCCTATATAGCCTAACCAGCTTCTTTCTATATCTTCCCTCTTCTCCTGGGGACATCTGCAGGCCTCATGTTGAGCAGTGCCTCATATAGAAACAATACTGAGACCACTAGTTATCAAGATCAGCCTCTGTGATGACAATCTCTTAAAATCCGTTTGGATTTGCTCCAGTGGTAAATTTTGACCCTTGAGACAACTTACCAATATCACCTTTTCCTAAATAAAATGCTAGGATTCAACATAAGTCTCTTTAAATATAGACCTCAGCTGTTCATGTATCTGCTTTGACAAGAATGACTATTAAGGTGATAAGAACTTAAATCTTAAACAACCAGAGGACAGCTTATCTGAACATGCTAGAAAACATATTTCCTGTCAAATATTTTCTACCCCTGTGGAATACAGCTAAGAAGATCCTAATTCCTATGAAAATATTGATGTATGCTTTTGTGAATCAGTTCAGAAATGCACCTGAGATAAATGTTTCCACAATATATTTTTCCCAGAAAGACTCAACCACACAATTAACTCATGGAAAAAGATGTTTAATTTTAGTTGGTAAAGAACTAGATTTAGCCACAATATATTCAGTGCTTCTGTTAGATTTGAGAATAACAGTCTTGACCAGTTAATGATTCTAAACAGCCAAATTCTTTCTGACCTTCGCATTTTAAATGCAATTCATGTTTAATAATTTTCAAGTCGGGGAAAGGTAATTAATGCACACCTCCCACAGGAATTATTTGGTTGGACTATCAATTGCAGAACACATTGCCCAGGACCATGTTAAGACTATTTGGGCAACCTGTGTCAGTTCTGGGTCACCCTCACAGTAAGAAAATGTATCACAATGTTCAGACAGCACCTCCTCTGTTTCAGTTTGTGCCTGTTGGTTTGTGTCCCTGTGGTTCTGTTGCTGGGTACCATTGATAAGAGCCTGGTTTTGACCTCTTTGTATCCTCTCTCTAGGTGTTTATATATATTAATAAGATGTCCCTGAGTCTTCTTTTCTCTAGACTAAACAGTTCTGGCTCTCCTAGACTTTCTTCAAATGTGAGGTATTCCACTGCCTTAATCATCTTTGTTGTCCTTCACTGCACTCTCTGGAAGAACTCCTTATCTCTTTTTTTTCTAAGGAGCCTAGAATGGTGCGCAGAATGGCCTTATCAGAGCTGATGGGAAGAATCACTGCTCTGATAGCTAATATAGCCCTGGCTTTATCCATTTTAAAATTCTGGAATTATTCCTGCATCTTCTCCAGCTTAATTAATAACTTCCTGTCACATAATGCAGTGCTGTTCAGGTAAGAATGAGGATGGTCATACTGATCAGACTAAAGGTCTATTTGTCAATAGGCCACATGTATAAAAGAGAATAAAAATGGGCTGAGTATGCAGCTTTACTTCCCTCAAAATGTCTCGTTACCTCCATGGCTCACAGACTTCCTAATTAGAATAGGTGTATGTATACAAAAAATCTTTGAGGGACTTTTCTTCAATGATTCTTTCTATATACAGAAAAAAAAATATATTTTCTATATATTTTTTCTATTTCTGCTGTACAAATTTATGTAAACTTCAAGCACCAATGCTCTGTATCAAGGAATCCTTCAGGTGATGTGTGGTAGGATAGATCAGTTGTGTTTTCTGTGTCTAGAAAGTGCCTTCGCCTGGAATAGGTAGCGAAATGGTGAGGCCGAATTTCTCTTCAGAAAACCTTTTTGCCTTTTACCTTCCACTTACCTCCATGTCTTCAATTTTTCCTTCCTTGAACTCAGACAAAAGTGCATGTCTGTTAGCTCACTTTTCCTGTTTGGTTAAGTGTAAGTTCTACTCTTCAAACGCCTTGTACAATCATACCCTGCTTAAAAATCTCTTACAGCTGAATCATGAACAGTCCCACTTCTGACTGTGCATTGGCTCTTTCAGGACACTGAGAGAATTCAGCTCTTTGAGTTTTCCTCCAACTACACGTATAGTAAGTTCAATTTCACCCTTATTGATAACTACTTCTAGCAGCAGAACTACTGAATCCTGGTCTCCTATTGCAAAAGCCATGCAGACAAACAAAGCAAAACAAGGAATTAATTCACTGCTTCCCAAGGACAGGCAGATGTTCAACCATCTCCAGAAGAGCAGCACCCCATCACACGTAACTGTGACTTGGGAAGACAAACACCACAACCACAAATAGCCCCACTTTCTCCTTCTTCCTCATCTGCTTTATATACTGAGCATGATGCTGTATGATCTGCAATATCCCCCTGGTCAGTCTGAATCACCTGTCCTGGCTGTTTGTCCTCCCAGCCTCCCATGCACCTGAGCAGATGATAGTTCCAAATGTCTACATTTGTTTGTTAAAGGGACATTTTACTCCTCAATAACTGATAAAGGTATTCTTTGTGAGTTTTGAATCATTATTTGTGCACTGCTAAAAGTTAATCTTTCACCTACTGCTATATTAGCCTAAATTAATAAAAGCTTATGATTATTTCTTCATTTATTCCTTGATATTTTTTAAAAGTCAAATTATTTCCATATCTTTATAAGAAAATCCTCTACAACTGTGGGTGTAAGGAATGAAGATGGTTAAGTAATTCTGAATTCATTTTAGAAAACTTCTCTTTTGCTACATAGGAGCATATTTATGTTTTTAATTAAAAAATAAAGAGGCTATAAATTGCTGGTCAATTTTACAATGTTCTGTCACCTCACATTAATGCAAATATAGAAGATATATTTCATAAAATAAATACATGGAGCAAGGATTCATATGGCATGCTGATAGTCTCTCTTTTTACAGCACCTAGCTCAGTGTATCTGTAACCTAGCTGGTGTCTCTCAGCTCTACAGCAATATAAATGTTAATAAATTCCATCAGTTAAAACATGATGTTCAAAGAAGGATTACTAAACAGGTACTTACATAAGCATTATCAGAGAGTTGTACCTGCTTTATATAACTGATCAGTCATTAAGCACAATAGGGAAAAGAACAATACACAGGAGACTTGCATGGTGTTTTGCTTTTTTATATGTAGACTAGCAGCTTGGGTAGTATGCAGAAGAGACACCAAGATTATAATAATCAGATTTGCTTTTTCAGTGCTGTCACTGTTACTGGGTTAGCTGCACATCAGATCCCTCCTCAGTCTCTCCCTGTCTCAAGTGGGCCTTGCTGAATAGCAGATGAGCTGCTCCATTGCCCCTGAGGTTAAATCCTGCAGATCTCTGACTCACAGCCTTATCCCCAGCTGCAGAGGACTACCCAGCCAGCTGTGCCTCCACAGCAAACTGTGCTGAATTTAGTGCTTGAATGGGACTCTTCTTTGGTTTGACTTTCATTAGTAGGTGCAATGACTCAGAACAGCTTTTTCAACACAAAAGTGCAGCACTAAGACCATATGACAATAAAAAATGTCCTGAAACTAGAAGCAAATGAGTAAAGGTTATGTGATCTAAAACTTAAGTAGGTCTAACTCATGCCAGACACCATCCCTAGAGAGTGGAAAGTCTAGCTCTATTTCTCTTTTCTTCCTTATTTTCCCTTTCAGAGCTCAAGATTTTTCAAATGTGTGAAACCCCTCAGAGCAACTGATCTCCTAGTTATTTCTCAGCAAGGTACTCCAACAAGGGACACATGAAAACCACTGAAAAATATTATTTTGTCTACATTCTTTCCATCTTAAAATCTGTTTAAATCTGAAAAATGTGCTACATGGTCTCTCTACCAATGCCCAAAAACATCAGTGGGAGCCAGCTCAAAAATCTGAAAAAAACCCAGAATTTAAAAAACTCTACTGAAAAAAAAATTAGACATAGCCTTTATTCAATAGGTTAAAAATATCCAAAACTTAGCATGATCAAAAGTCTAGAGGATAAAAGCTTTTGTTAGATTCAGACACATGGCCATTGTTTCATATAGAAATTATCAAGGAATATTAATTCATACTGCTTCAGTTACAAGATTTCTGTTTAATCATGTACAATGCACAGAAGTAAACACACAAAACATAGATTTCAGTGTCTGGGAGCACCACCTCATTCCTCATGATTTCTGAAATTGAGGAATGTAGCCTTCTGCAAAGCTCATAGAAATGAACTGCGGCTGGAAAGATGGGAACAAGACACACATCTCTGAGTTATTCTTCAGGATTCTTAAAACTGGAATGCCAGAATGACTGCTTCAGGTTCTCTCTTGGTAGAGGAAGGGAACCCTGATGTATCATTTATGCAATAGCCATGAGGTCCCCTACACCTTACCACACCCTGAAAAGTACAAGGGAAGCACAATGGATCATAATTTATTTAATAGTGGATAACATGGACTTTTAAACTATTAGACAGCTCAAAGAACATTTATAAGAGAAGGCAGAAAACCCATTATTCATATCTCCATGTAGTGGTTTGGTACCTTCTTGCAAAAAGTGACCAGCATATAAAAATTGTGAATTGCTGCCCAAAAGGCAGATTCTTCCATAATTGATCATTAATGTGTTTCTTGTACCTTCTTCTGAACAGCCAGTATTGGCTGCTGTCAGGGGTAGAATAATCTATTAGGCAAATTGATACCGATCCAGAGTAATGTGGCGATTCCTAAATGTTGTTTTTGCTAAACTGGAAACAGAATATTAAGTATTTATTTAAAGAGAAAGGAAAGCAGTTTTTAATGGTATCCTATGGAGTTCACAGATGAACATGTTTGCTATTATTGCTATTGTTCCTTTGTGGATGCTCCTGAAGCTGATTGTAAAGTCTAGTAATTTTCCATCCCCTGCCCTTGGCTGTACCTCTTGTGTTATTTCAAACAAAAAATGCAAAGCACTGACCCTCCAGTAACAGAAAGTCATTTGGGATGACAAATTTTGTCATCGTATTGTTGTAAACACACAGTTTAAAAGTGTTAAAATAGATATGCAAATTGCAATGATTGTATTCCTAAATGTGCCTGCAGGAACATCAGGTAGGTGCAATCAAGGAAGAAAAATGTTGTTGTTTTAGGGATAGCACCTTGAATTTAAAGATAGGGCTGCAGCTGAGGGCTGCAGAATGTAAATTCACTTGTTAAACTGCTCATTTATATATATTTAAAAACAGAGACTATAATTCAGAAAAGCACCACACATATTCTTAAGTGCCTTTTTACTGGAGAAGAGGGAAGGCTTTTCATCACATGCCTTCCATGAGTGACGGCGGTCAGTGAGAAGAGTGCTGCAGTGAGAAAAGTGTACTGGCACAGCTGAGGTATTTGACTGAATTGAAGCAGCTATGCTGGCAGCTACTCTCAGTATAGACATACATCCTTTCCATTTATATAACTAATTTCTTTTATAGGATGTGGCTTAGCTAATTGTACAACACACATGCATCCAATCTCATTGCAGTTGTACAGATAGAGTAGCAGCTTTGACCTAACAAAGAGCTGTAAGAAGCCTTTTCTCTAACAGTTTGCTAGGTGAGGAGATTTCGAGAACTAGAAACAAAGGAATAAAAGCAGATAAATATAAATATGCTGTTATTTAATGCCACCAAGGGTAAAAGAAAAGAAAATATACAGCAGGCTGCATTTCTTTGGGGAAAATCTTTCAGTTGCCTGATGGAGTTTTCCTACAGAACAATAAAACACGTATCTGTTAAAAGATGAATGGCCAAATTTGGGTGATTTACCAATGCTAGGATCCACAAACTTGTTTTTTAACTGCCTGCTTCTCAAGTCAGTCCTGCTATAGAGGAGTGGGCTCGATGCCAGCCCAGCCATGTGCCCCAGTGCCCTGGCACACGCCAGTCACGCGCCAGGCTGCACCCACCAGCTGACTCGCTTCCCCCGTGGCACAGGAGCACAGGCATGTGCTCCTGGGAAAAGACTGTTTGGAAACAAGCCTACAAAATTAGCAATGCATCCTGGCCTTATTCCCAGTTTTCACTTGAGGTCCCTTTAGTGAAATGCAGTAATGGAGCAGCTAGGGACAGTGGACAAGCAGTACTGCTGTGTCACACAGATGCAAAAGTTCATCTGTGACGTTGTAGGACTTATATAATGCAGATCTTATTGTTTCCTTCTGGCTTCAGACCTCTGGAAGGACCTGTAATGAACACAAAATATAGACTTTATTTAGAAAATAGCTCCCACATCAGGAATAACAGTGACTTGGATGAAATCAGTCATAAATGCAAGTATGCAGTCACTATATTCTGCAAGTGGCTTCATACAAAACATTAAAGAAATCATCACTTTAAAAATTATTTTCAGTATCAACAATTTCAATGCATTCAATTTACATGAGGGCTTTTGTCAAAGGCAATTAATGTAATCTATTTTGTTTTTCTGATAACTATGTGTTTATGAGACTTTTTTGTATAATAAATATAACACAGTTTGAATAAAATGTTGTAATTTTATAATTTTCTACATAGTCAATCAGTCCTGCAAGTTGTGATGAAAACATTGTCAGGCTTTAGTGTATTTAATACTTCAGGAAGGTTTACAATTTTTTCTGACAAATACCCTGAGATTAGCTCTGTTGGTTATAGCCTGGAGCTAAAAACACCAAGGTTGGGGGTTCAGTCCCTGCATGGGCCATACATTTAAGAGATGGAATTGATGATCCTTGTGGGTCTGTTCCAACTCAGAATATTTTGTGATTCTGTGAAATATTAGTTTAACATCTTGAAGAGATTCAATATAAAACAGAATGGAGAGAACTCATGGGCAAGAAAGACACAATTTCCAAGGAAGGTATGTACCTATAGAAGTAAAGAAAGTTGTAAAAAAGTACATTTTATAAACTTGAGTCATGTTTCCAACAATAGAGTTAATGGCACACATAATCACAGATTCACAGAATCCTTAGGGTTGGGAGGAACATCTGGAGACCATTCAGTCCAGGTTCCTGCAAACACAGGGTCACCTGGTGCAGGTGACACAGGAACCCAGGTGTGGTTTGAATGTCTCCAGAGAGGGACACTCCACCTGGGCAGCACACCTACCTCCCTGGGCAGCTCTGCCACCCTCAATGTAAAAAGCTTGTTCCTCATGTCAGGTAATGGAACTTCTTGTGTTTCATTCTACGGCCATTTACTTCTCCTGTCTGTCCATGTAATATCTATACAGACAGACAGACTAGGTATTATCTTTCCATTTCTATTCATACAAAGGTAATAGAACCTTGCAGAGAAATTGGATGGTTGGACAGTGCCACCAAAAGACCTTCTTGAAACTGACCTCTCTGGATTTTGACAAAGTCTGAATATCCTGAGATTGGAAAATAAGGACAAAAAGGCAATGCTTTGTAAAAAATAGTATTCAAAGAAGGTTCATCATAAAAGATAAGAATATTTGCTTCTGCTTTACTATTTCAATTTCCATATAATAAATTATATCAAACACAGAATGCACTGATCTCTTAAAACAAAGCATTTAATGACTTCCTGTGGGACTGGATTAGAGATTACATTCAAAAATTTCCCTTGTGAAACATTTCAACTTTGTTGACTCAGCACTACCACTCAGAAAATCTGTTCTGAGCAAGAATTTCTTATTTACCTGTACCTCACATATCACCCACACCTTAATGGTGAGAAAGGGAAATGGCAGCATTGCCCCTGCTTTGTCAGGTGTATACCATGCAGATGGACAAGCAAGTGGGCAATCAAACAGAGTTTCATGCTTTTCCTTCACTCTACTTACAACAAATAATGATGAGTCCAAGTTATTCCCTGCATACAGTGTCTCAGTGCATGTTTAACCCGTAATAAAGGCAACCCAAGTACTAAAATCTGTTTCATTTCTTGTTTTCTTTATCAAAGTCATAATGACATCAGAGCCACCAGAACACCACTTTCCTTTTTTTTTTTCTTCTTCTTTTATACAGTAACAAAAGGTGTCATTCCCAGGTATAGCAGACACCTGAAGGCCTGTGCTATGACAGAAGAAAATATTGGGACAGAATAGTTGGTCTTTGGAAAGGACTTAGAGTAGTGGAAGAACTCCTCATATCATTAGACCCTTGAGGGAGAAGTAAGAGTGGAAGAAAGCTGATAGTGAGGAAGAGCTTTAGGGAGGAGGGCAATGTATAGCCTATCTTCTGCCTCACACTTGGGATTACATGAAAGAGTGAGTATGAGACTTAATATAAAGATTAAAAAGATTGTAAGTAGGTAGGATACCACAGCTCTTCACTACAGTGGGATGAAGTTACCACAGAGCAATGACTGGTTCCTTTATTAATTTAAAAAAAAATGCAAAAACAAACAAAGATTAAACAAGTAAATCTATTCCCCTGATCTGATGGATGCATAGCTGATTTTACTGTAATTTCTGTGGGCTCTATATGCTATTGGGAGACTTGAGAAAGACACAGAAGCTGTGTAAAGGAGTGTAACAATGTAGAAAGATGTAGAAAGGACATAAATTATCTGGCTTCTCCCCAGCACATCATCAAGTAACAGCTATTTGGTGGTGGGGTCACTCACTGACATGCTGAGGAGCTCCAATATGCTTTCTCCCCACTTGTGAGCATGTCAGAACTTTTAAATTATCATATATGTCATTATATTTGATTACACATTCTATAAAAAAAGAGGGCAATGGATTTTACTGGAATGCATTTCCTCTGGGAAAGTCTTTTACAGAAGGTTTGAATTCAAGTTCCTTCAGTTTCACAACCATGAAAACCATTGCAAAGTGGATCCCCATCTTCTGCTGGTGCTTTCTCCCTCAGAAAGTACAGAAAGATCACAGTTGCTGCAGCACTGCATCTTTATGGGAGAGGGTGATATAAATGGCCTCGCCATGGCACTCTGGCTGAAAATACCATCAAAAATGCAGAAACACCCCTAAAAAATTCAAAGCACATCATTACCGTTTTTATCAGGGAATTTTGAATGAAACACATGGTCTCGGCCCAGACATGCAACATCTAGAGTTTCTGTCTCTTTCTGGAGACCTAGATTTAATTTAGCACAGGCGAAGGCATAACACAGACTTTCATTTTTATGCTCTCATGCTGTATTCACTCAGTTGTAAGAATCTGACAATAGCAATGTAGAAAAGCCATAAAGCATCTGGCTTCTCTGCAGTCTATCAGCAAACTATAAATGTCATAAGAATTGCTTAATACTAGGAAAAGGATGGATGCACAAAGTTCCCATTTTTGTAGCCTTTACCATCTTGAGGAAGTAATACTGGTAGGAGGGAAAAGTGAATATCAGCCTTCACCCAAATATGAAGGCAAGCTTGTTTCAGCAAAATGCTGCCTTTAAAATATTTGAAGAATTTAGTCTAAAAGTTTATTTTATTTCATCTTAAAAACTACTTAACAATATAAACCCAGACACAGGTGTCTTAAGGGGTTTTTTTTTGGTAGCAGAAAACTTAGGATTTGGTCATACAGGAAGCATTCTCAGTGCCAATGTAGTTAATTACACTGATAAGTTAACTGTTAGCTCTTTTGCACTAACTCTCCCATGTCAGCAGAGTTACCAGGAATATGAGTGTTTTAAACCTTTTCAAATAGCTTGAAAATTGCTTCCCAAGTGGCAGTCTGAAGGAATAGGAGGCAGGCCTGTGCCCATAGAATAAACTGATTTTAAACCCTTGTCCTATTTATATGACTTTTTCATGTAGAAAAGCCCTTGGGACAAAAGTGCTTTAAAATCTATTCCATAATACTTACTTCAGTATAATTATTCCTCAATGCTAAGAGCGTCCACGTGAGGATTTTGTGGTTGGACCCTGGCCAGATGCCAGGCACCCACAAAACCCTCTTGCTCACTCCTCTGCAGCTGAACAGAGAACAGAAAATATAATGAAGGGTTAATGAATTAAGGACTAGGAGAGAAATCATTCATTAAATATCATCACGGCCAAAAGAAAAGCTCAACTTAGAGATATTTAAGTGAATTTATTAGTAACAAAATCAGACACGATAATGAGAAGTAAAATAAGCCCTTAAAAACACCTTATTCCATCCCAACCCCTCCATCCTTCTCACCAACAGACAGGGAGTGGGGGTTTACAGGTGATTTCATCACTCATGGTTCCTCTCACTGCTCCGAGAGAGAAGCTGTTCCCCTGCTGCACTGTGGGGTCCCTCCCACAGAAGGCAGTTCTCCGTGAAGCTCTCTGATGTGACTCCATCCCACGGGCACACAGTCCTCCCAAAACTGCTGCAGCGTGGGTCACTCTTCCATGGGATCAGTCCTCCAAGGACAGGCTGCTCCAGCCTGGAACCAGGGGCCTCTCTCTCTACTGGGTCTCCCACTGGGTCACAGCCTCCTCCAGGCCTCCACCCACTCCAGCATGGGCACCTTCCCCACGGGCTGAGGGTGGATCTCTGCATTCCCTGTGGATCCCCACGGGCTGAGGGTGGATCTCTGCATTCCCTGTGGATCCCCATAGGCTGAGGGTGGATCTCTGCACTCCCCATGGATCCCCTTGGGCTGTGGGTGGATCTCTGCACTCCCCATGGATCCCTACGGGCTGTGGGTGGATCTCTGCATCCCTGTGGATCCCCATGGGCTGCAGGGGCACAGCTGCCTCACCATGGTCTCACCACGGCCTGCAGAGGAATCTCAGCTCTGGTGCTTCGGCCATCTCCTCCCTCTCCTCTGCTTTGACCTTGGTGTCTGCAGAGCTGTTCCTCTCAGATGTTCTCACCTACTCCTCTATCAGGAATGAAAACTGCACTACAATCTTTGTTTTGATTTTCTTCTTAAATATGGTATTGTAATGGTGTTACCATCATCTCTAATTGGCCCAGCCTTGGCCAGCAACATATCCATCCTCAGAGCCATCAGAGATTGGTTCTGCTGGACATGGAAGAAGCTTCTGGAAGCTTCTTACAGTCCTCTTCCCCTCCCCACCCCCCACCCCCCACTACCAAGAACAAGGCAGTGCAAAACCAACACACCTGAACAGCAATTTCTTTCAATATGCAATGCTTACATATGTGGACACCTGTAGGTACTTCACCCTTTCATCCATAGTGAAGGCAGCAAGGTGTTGTGAGCTGTGGTTCCCAAGGAGCAGGCACTGAGCAAATTTAATGAGGGCAAGCCATGATGAACAACATGATGAAATGAATTAGGCTACCTAAAATGTCTCACAGATCCAAGTTTTGTATGTATGAACTATGAACAAGGGTCTGAATGAAGTAATGGAGTTTCTTTCCTAGAACTGGGAATTTCAATACATCCCCTCATAGACACTAAGAAAATTGGGTAGTCATTGGGCAAGAGGCAAAGAATTGCTCTGGATTAGACACTGGCAAAGTAACAAAACAAATAGTCAATTTTCACCTTGGCAAAGCCTCTATGCTAAACCAGTGTTGGAAATAT